GCACCTCACTGTTCAATGTATCAACTGCGTATTTCACACATCATCCACAGTTGGATGCACGCCAATGCATATTCTTTAAGTCTGAAATAAAACATTATGACTTCAGCTAATTTGCCAGGAAACTTACGTTAAGAGCTGCTGTCCTATCCCAAGTATGAGCAATTGGATCGAAGACTGACCTCTTCGGTTTCCGGAAATGCCCAACACTTGCATTTCATGGAATTGATGGAGAACCACGTTTGCTTGGGATGAATTCGAGAACAGCTGTATATTTGCAATTAGTAGACGAAATCAATTTGTGTAAGAAGGCCTCCAATGTAGCGTAATTTTGCACGCACCCCAGTGTATTACGGATGTCAACGATCACTGATGGACTGTTGCCAGCAATTACGGCATCGCCTCGATGCTCATGTGTCACAACGAAACCTCTGCTGGGAACTTAGTTCACGGTGCGAGTGTGGCCTGCCGCTGGAGTGCTGCAGGTTTCATCAAGGTATCCGTCCGACGGTAGTTGCGAATACGCAGCCCACTCACTTATTCGTCGAAACACCGAGACGCCGGCATACGTGAACAAAGAACAAGGCAACGCTAATTGTAAAGATGAGACTCGCATGAAAAAGTGAATAAGCGTCCGGTTGTCCAAACCCACGAACGTCATTGTTCAAATGTCGTAAACAATGGACGTTAAACACTAAAGGCTGGCGCCGGTAGATGTCAACAAAATGATCAACCGTTTTACCAATTGTTGACTGTGCTAGAGTGAAATAATATTTACTACCCTTCTTGCAACACAACCCAAACATCATCAGGGAGGGTTTCAAAAACTTCTCGTGCATCGTAGGATGCAATATACTAAGAAGCATAACAGGGGCACGTTACAGCAGGAACTACCGGTACTCATTGGCTTTCCTTCGAGCTGCACCAACGAAAATACGGCACATTCTGGAAAGCCTGCCGTCAGTGACGTGCGGCATGGATCTATCCTTGTGTTCACTTCCGAAATCTGCATGACGGACAAGCGCACCTGGATGGATGTAGGGCCCCTGTGCCACAAATTAATCAACCGCCTCATGAACTCAAAGCAAACCATGTGCATGTACTCCAGAGGAAAGAAGGGTGCCATGTCAATGCGAAGTGCCTCAAAGAAGAAATTGCCAAAATGACATTCTTTCTGAAAACGCAGACGGAACCCTTCATCATTCCTTGGCATGGTACCCGCGTCCGGTGGGAAAGTGATGTGGCCGTCTACCCGCACACATATAGGCAGGTACTGAACTGTTAATGAAGTTCGATACTAACCAGGAACCGTACATTACTTGCACGCGTAGTAACCGGAATGTTGCTTCAATTGTTTGATGTATGCTCGAGCAGGAGCAATCACAATCACACACTGTCCTTGGCAAGTGTCACCAAAGGACTTTCTGGGGCTATAAGGATTCCAGGATGCATGCCAACTCTCAGCACATCAATGGTTGATCGTAGAAAAGAGTGTACATCTGCAGGTTTTGACAAGCCAAAACACAATCCGACAATGCAATTGGAGGAAGGCGGACCTGTGGGTCTAGCCAAGACAGGCCACACATTTTTGCGCAAACTGCGAAACAAAGTGAGTCCTCCTATAGGCGGCTGCAGCTTCAAATTCTACATGAGTAGCAGTACTAGCTTGCAACACACAACGTATTCCTGTACTCCTTCCAACGTGCACGTTAACGCCACCCTTATCAACGGTAACCGGACATCCATTTGGTGTACCGAGCAATGTGCGCTAAACGCACGGCAATTCAGGGTGCTACGCACGGGTGCGCCAAGCGTCAGGTTTAGCGTTATAGATAGTAAATATCCATCAGTCGCGATACCGCGGCAGATTGCCGAATTGTTTGGCAAGCGCGGCGTTGATATCACAGGTAGAAAATCAGCAGGCACTATTTAAGCGGGTTACGCGTCTTGAAAGTTCGCTAACCAATAAGCGCCTCCAAAGTTTGCGCATGTAACTCATGTGGACCTGGCTAGCAGAACCACTTCCTCGTGGTGCCAGCTGGAGTTTTTGGGTTAAACCCGTTCCAGCAAATAGTTCGGCGTCAGTGTTCCAGGAAGTGGTAGGTTTACGATTGGCAGGCGTACTCCACATAAAATGCTACAAAATGCTTAACAGCAGTGTGAAGTGGCGGTCGTGACTCGCCACGACCAAAAGTCACTGCCCTGTCGACATCTGGATAATGTTATACAACCCACGGACTCCAATCTTATACTCGCACATTGCTGCCGAAACCAGACATTCAAGGATAGAGCGGCACAGTTACATGCGCAAACTACACAGCTATATCAACCACACAAGTACAAGGTTATGCACCCCGCTACACAATCATACACTGTTATGGCAACCACTTTTGATAACGCATTGTTATGTCAAAATGACCGTGCCTGTTAAGGCGTGCCTCGCCTTGTCGAGAAAAAAGCTTTTCTCTTTATTTAACCATGTCCACATGCGCAGTAAATGCCGCATTCTTCTCCGACATCAATGCGCCAATCGTCGCATTGTAGTCGTCAAAACAGTCAGACCGCTTATAGTTTGTGCGCCCGATGGTCTCTTAGGCAGCAGCTGTCACCTGGTCGCGAAGGTAGCGACACAGGTCGCCCACTGTGCCCATGCAGTCCACGTTACACAGGCTTGCAGCCATCACCTTCTCCAGCTCAATACCATCCGACACAGTACCGAGGGAGCGAATGTTAAATTTGCGTCGATTCACGCCGGGAGTACCATACATAGATTTGCGAAAATATATCTACAGTTTGGTCCGCACCAATTTGTGGTCAGTGCCAAACTCAGCTCCATGCAGAACACGTGTCATGCGCACTTCACTGCATATCACCCGGACGTACGGTGACATAGTCGAGCAAGTGAGCGTGATCACTCCTTGGTTGCGTCCAAGTTGCCATATTCCACCCACGCCGTGCAAACCGAGTGTTCGTGCTCGTCAGACGGTGAGTTGCACACCTTGACAGCAGCCTGTCACCGTACGCATTCGCTGAACCAATGCCATGCGAACCGATAACATCTGTCCACACCGATGCATCACGCACAACGCGCGCATTGAAATCACCCAGCAGAAATAGTCGGTCGCTCCTCGGCACAGACCGTATCACTGTGGATAGCTGAGTGTCGAATTGATCACGCGGGTCATCAGGATAAAACATGGTCGGTGCTTATTAAGGTGACAACTTACCCTTTCCAGTTCAAAGGCGAACAGGCATGACTCGCGAGCGGCTGCAGTTTCGTTTCCCCGCCAGATAACCATGGAGGCGATCGGATATTGCAACCCCGACCCCATAACCACGTGGTGCTGAGGCGGCGTAGCACACCCAGAAAAACGTGTAGCCAGCACCTGTTTCATGCAGCTTACCTTGCTCAGCGAGCCGAGTATCACTGAACGCCGCAATGTCGCTGTGGTAGCGCGCCAGTTTCAGCGCGACAAGTGCAGTGCTTCGAACCGGGCGTTCACCGGAGTTCCGGTACAGTAGTGTGCACACGTTCCAGCCATCGCTGCTGCGCGCTTTGCGCGCAGGCATACGATTTCATTGGTATGCAATCGCACATGTGGTGGTGGTTGTGCTCCGGAAGTTTGCTTGAGGGACTTCACCCGGAGCATTTGGCGAAAGAGCTTGACCCACAAGGCAGTGGGTGGTTTGTAGGTTTGTTTTAGGGACTCCACTCGGAGCCTTTGGCTCAATAGCCTGACCCACAAGGCAGTGGGAATGGGATCCGGCTCGGGAATGTGATGGCAGAGACGGATTGGGATCTCTTTGACGGACGTCTCACGCAGCCTTGGAGGTACTAGAACGATTCATTTATGTTTTGAGACCGTAGTAGGATGCACCTGCAACCACGGCCAGAGGCAAGTAGGCATGGCCTGGTTTACGCTACTTTGACAAGAGGCCGTCTGGCTTTAGGCGGACAGTCGCAAACCTTTAAATACCCGGAGGTGCCCACCCACCGTCAAAAAATGCTTGGTGCCAGTGCTTTACACTAATGGAGCTGTGAGCTTATAACCCGTAGACCTGTTGTCTCCAATTGCTAGGGTTTGCAGGAAGATCATTACGGTCATAAGGTGACCTAGTCCGTCCTAATACGTTGCCTCGGTGTACGACTGGAATACACAACCAGTCCTGGCCCTGGATGTAAAGACAAGTGAACGTTACTAACGTGTGTGGCAACCTCACTTAGCAGAAGGCAATATTGCGGCTTTTATTGCAGCGTCAAAGTAACTGCAGCGGGCATGTTTCTATAACCCTAACTACCATCGTGACGTTTGTAAAGCACTGATGCTGGCGAAAATAACATCCTTGCTGTCTACCAACCAATGATTCAGTGATAGCAAAAACTACCGAAGCTGTACTGAAACATATGGCGCCGTATTTCCGTTATAAGAAATTCATTGTTTGTTCGCTTACGGATTCTATTAGTTACATAAACTCGTGGAGCTGAATACAAATGGGGTCCTGGGTATGCAGCTAGTCGGTTATATCACAACCAACTAGTAAGTTTGGGGGCTTGATCTAGAGCATGCTTACCTCAATCCTCGTGGGGAATTGCACTACGTTGTCAAAAATGCGGAGGGAGGAACGTGTATGAGATCAATGAATGCAAGATGTGAAAACGCATGTGAGATAGCTGCTCTAATCGTACTCAAGATGTAGTGAGAAGGCAAAGGTACGAAGAATTCGACAGGCACAGTCCAGACTAATTTTGAAGGCTTCTTAATTGGTAGCTTGCCACAGTGATGCAACGATGAGTAACAATGTATGCTATTCCAAATTGGAGGCAGTATTTTTGTGATTCAAACGCCTTGCACATCATAGGAAACTAAGAGGTATATTGGAAACAAATTTCCTCATTTTTATGTAACAGGATACAATAATTTTAATATGATACAAAATAAGAACGTTGGTGTTGTTTTGTTTATGTTGTTCGTTAAGCCGTATTTCAGCCGCCTGTTTTCGATGCACTGCACTGCCCATTTTAAACGTATCGAGCTAGCAGGCAGCATAAATTCAAAAATTGATGGTTCTGTCATCATTTTTAATGCATGCAACATACTTTTCCCAAGCTTACTTTTTTGTCATGCACAAACGCAACTTCTTGCGACAGGCTGTTCCTCCGTAATTGATAATGTGGTGCATGAATGTTGAACAGGAGCTACGGTGCATTATGTGGGATCTGCTTCGAATAATCATAAAACGCAACCATAATCTTAACCATAGCTTCGGTTGTATTATCAATTTCATAGCAAATGTTCCTTAGTAAGCGATTTTGTTATTGAGGCAGGAATAATACGGTATTGTCGCTGTACCCACAACCGCTCGCCGTCCGTACAGCTGGTTGTCACGATTCGCGAATTCGACGCAGCGGCACGTTCCTTTGATCGCTTGTTCAATACATGACTGAGAGGTCTTGTTTTCATTCTGGACAGGATGTTGTTTCTTCTCAAATTTCTCCACTAAGAAATAAACGAATGTTAGTTTCTGAGAACTCTCCTCTATATAACGAAAGAATTTCCGATGATTTCAACTACCCTGGACAGCTAAATTGCGTACGCACCCAGCTGACAAGTGTTAACGGGTTTCATTCTAAATCTCATAAAAAACTGCAGTTGGAATTTGAAGCGCCTCGAAGCACTAAACAGCCAGCATTCGTTCAGTGCTTCGAAGCCGTTGATATGCGTGGCTTTTTTGGCGATACACGTTCATCTGGTCATAAACACTGCTCCCGTCAGTCTAGTCCAGACCGCCTTGTGCATGATTGTAAAAAAAGCAGGCGGTCACAAGTTAGTCCCTTGAATCAATCTCCGGGACCTAATTTAAATGCTAAGTGTTCTACAGTTATAACCTGTCCCTCGCCTGCTGATTTTCGGGGTGGTGCGTCGCCTGATCCCGCGGCTCTTCATCAAATGCTTGGTCAGTCAGGGTACTGCGATTGCGTTGCGTCTTCACTCCCGAAGGCTCTCAGGTCCAGCGCTTGTATCCACGAGCCTGCCCCAGAGTCGGTAGCCAAGCTTCGGCCTGATGGTCCTTGTATCAAGCACCCTACACCCAAACAAGTTACTAATTGCCAAAATTTACCTTTGCCTTTGTCCATTCGTGAGAAAGGAGTCCGCCCACATCTCCAAACTACTGAAATTTCCAACACATTCCCACCATGTACTAACAGCCCTTCAACAGCTCCATCTCCCAATTCATCTTATACGGGATCGGTGCCGTGGCGAAATGAGACCAGTAAGTTTCAGTTTGTAAGCTTTTTTGCATCCTCCTACTGAACATTGGTTTCCCTGCTCTTAACTTACATTTCTGTTTCCTTAGGTAAATCAATTCACACCAAGTCTGCATAGCCTCGTTTAAGTTATAGTTTTCGGTCTAACCTGAACCCTAAACTTTTCGCTTAATCATTCCTTACTTGTATGCATGGGTAATGACCGACGCCTTGTGTCGCTTTATCCGATTCATCACCTGCGTTCAACCAAGCAAGCGTGTAAACAAACCAAACGATGCGATCGAACGTTTTCTGTCTTAAATTTTTACGTACAATTTCTCCTAACCTTTTCCCACTTCTATCATCCGTCTACATTTTTTTACTTATTGTATGTGTCCGGCCAAGGGTTCCGAGGACTTTCGTGTGTATTCGCACGAGAGTCTTGATAGACCGGGGCTGCAATGCAAAACAGATACATCGTAGGTCCTTGGATGGTTTCATCACAACCACATAGTAATAGTCGGAGCTGGATGAAGAGTGCGCTCCACTTACACCTCGTGACAAGCTAGACGGTTTGGTCATAACTGCCGATGGGATCCGAGCCTGAGCTGACTGGTGGGATGGCGGTACTTTCTGGTAATTGATCCAGTGATACCGACAGCATCACACAAAATATACCGACCAGACAAATACAATGGAATAGTGTGCATCAAGTGGTTTGGTATACGAAATTAATATCCTCATCTAAATGCGCTCGAAGCGGAATAGCCAGCTTATGCTGATGGCTAAAACATCCAGTAAACATCGCCGTACAGCGCCTACAGCTACTATCAAACTGAACACGCCTCAGAGGTTCACGTAACTACGCTCAATATTGTTCGTCTTTTTTGGTAAGCAATACAGCAGGTGTGCAAAACACATGAGCTGGTAAGTGCATATTTTTTAAGTCCAACCTATACTCCAGTACGGCGTCGACGTCCCATAACAGATAGACACGTATGTGGATTGGAATCATTGCCAACTTTGGAAACATTAAGCGCCGTTGTATCGATTGACGGTTCCGACTGTCAGCCTACTGTGGACAGCTTGAGAGACAGTAGCTGGAGAGATCACGCAAATTCGGAATATACTTCGATCCTATGTCTACTTACTTACCTAAGAGGACAAATCGACTATTTTGACCTTGATAACCAGTCAGGATGCGCAGGTAATCATCAGTGATAGTCTTACCCATCCCACAACGTAGGACATGTGGATTCACACGTGGTGCTGTCACTCGTCTATGCGGAACCAGTAGTCAGGACGCAGACGCATCTTTCATGGCCCCGGCTTGTATGAACAAGTGGTACCGTTTAACTTATCCTTCTATGTACCGCAACGAGACTTAAAAGCGTGGTGCGATGGTTTGCGTACCCCCGTGACCCATTGAGCTATGCCAGGTGGCACTTTTCAGGTGCCTTTAGAACCACTCATACCAGAATGGTCAATGTTTAGGGGTCAAAATAACTGTCTCGCAACCCAATCTTCAGAGTTTTGGGAGTGTTTGATGGACATCTTCCTCTACAACCTAGCCATGGGAGACAGGTCTACGGGTTATAAGCTCACTTCTAGATTGGCATAAAGCACGAACATTACGCATTATCTCTGACGCTAGGAGGGCACCTTCTGGTACTCAGTGGTTTGCTACCGGCCGCCTCAAGCCATGCAAACCCTGGTTAAATTGGTGCAAACCCGCCAACTCCCATCTGCGGCTGGCCGTAGTCGCAGGTGCGTAACGTAATACGCTCGTAAAAAACATGTGAATTGTCCCAATTCTTCAAAGGCCCTGTTTGACAGGCATCGAGCAGATCCCAATTTGTTTCTACAATAACACTCCCGAGTTGGACTTGCTCCCCACTTTCTTGTGAGTCATGCTATTGAGCCAGAAGCTCCGGTGGAGTCCATTAAGCGATTCTCCAAATCTCCCATTGCTTTATGGGTCGGAGTGTTGATTCAAAGACCAGCGGTAGAGCACCTCGAACAAAACCCCTCTCAGAATGAGTAGCCAGAGAATATCATCTGCCCTCTTGATCACATTGACAATTTTCCCTTATTATTCTCCCTTCTCAATTTTGCTTTCCCGTCTGTTGAGCATAAATCTGCCGCTGACTTCGTTGCTTCTGCCATCAGTACTCGTAACTTATCCAACGAACCACGAGTCTCATTTCACATTGTTTCTTTTAACATCCGCACTTTGAGTCAGATCGGTCAACAGGCAGCACTGACTCCCACTCTTCACTCTCTTGGTATTGATGTGTGCTGTCTCCGAAACACGCATACAAGATAACAGAAGCGTCACAAATCTTCGACTCCCTGGTTCTGAATCTGACGACCATGGCTACACTTCGCGATACTGGGTCAATGGCTCAAGGTATTTACGATGTTGGTGTTGCCCTCAGCAAACATTCTGAAGGTGAACAGCCGCATATTTGCGGTTCGACTTTGGACTACTATTGGACTTGCTAAGCGGCGTCTGAAGCCAAGGTGCCTTTACATCGCCTCAGTTTACGCCCCCTACTGAATGCATTTTAGAGGGTAGCAAAGATGACTTATACCATCTTTCATCTCTATTCCGCATGCTGAAGGATACTGACATGATTGTTGCTGGTGACTTGAATGCCTAAGTGGGTCGCCCACCCTGGGAGGGTGGGCCACTTCGGAGTCGGTGCACGCCGATCAGACCATGGTGCTCGATTCCTGCAACTGCGCGCCGACCACAATCTTTATATTAGCAGCACTGCTTTCCAGCACAAATGTTCACACCACGTCACTTGGCGCTCACCGAATTCCTCAAGGACCTGGACCCAAATTGCCCATATTGTCATCAGATACAGGTGGCGCACGTCAGTCCAAGGCTGTCGGTCAACTTGGAGCCCCTGCCCGTATTCCGACCATGCTCTAGTGCGCACGCTTGAAGCTTACTCTTCCCACTTCAAAGAAGCGCCTATCTTTTAGCCTTTTACCTGTAACTTGAATACGAAATCCGCACCTCATTAATATTAAAGAACTGGCCCACCAATTGTCAGTGATGAATGAGGTTGGTGAGCCGAACGCTGACAGGGATCGTCTCAAGTGTACCATGAAGAATGCCTTTGGCGTTTGCTGTGCAACCAATTTGAAACTTGGTGGCTGAATAGATCTCTCAGGCTTCGATCAGCTTGATCGCAGCGCGTAAACGGGCTCCGATTGTCACTGAATTTCATCGTGTCCGCAACTCCTTGAAACAATGTCCGACAAGGGGTCTTCGTGTTGACCAGGAATCTTGGTGGGTTGCAAAGGCCCGTGAGGTAGAGAAAACCAGCGCTTTTGGAAACCGCGAGGTACTATTCCAGATCATCCGGAGCACGGATCCGAAAACGTCATCAGTTAGCGAGACAATAACTAACCAAGCTAAACCATTGATCCATTCTCAACGTCATCGACTAGCCCGTTGGGCGGGACATTTTGAGGAGCAGTACAGCATACCTGCTGCGACGCTGCTGCTTGCCAAATCACCTAAGCCGACATGGGAAATAGATGTCACACGTCCCACTTTTTAAGAAATTCGACATGAGCTTTCTATGTTAAAACGGAACAAGGCTCTTGAACCCGACGGCCTTCCCCCATCTTTGCTGAAAGACGGCGGTGGCTCTTTGTCCCTCCCCATCCCTTTTAGCCTCCCCCTCCACCTACGATTTCATTTCGTAGCGTAAAACATAATAATTTTTCTTTTTGCCTAGTAACCGGCTGGTAGCTTACCGGAACGATGCCTATCCGTTGCTGGTAGCTCAGCTGGTATGCAGCTGTTGTATTTATTTTCCTTTTCCTTTATATATTGCGGCACAGTAGCTAAGGTGTTTCCCACCTCTGGCTGACGTGTATAATAATGATGATGATTGTTGACTGGACTTGCTTTTGACACTGAGGAAGTGCCTTCATACTGGCGACTATCAACTCTCATGCCCATCTTCAAGAGGTTTCAGCGCACTTTATGCCTATTTCCATTGCCACAAAACTTCTCACGGGTACCATTCTTTGATGACTGAATGGTCCCCGTGAAGACCGATTCACTGAAAGCCAGGCTGGCTTCCGCCCTGGCCGAGGTTGCATCAACCATATATTTACTCTTCGCCAAGTTTCCGAATAGACATACATTCAGACTACCAACTGTAGTGCTTTTTCTTGAAAGTTGTCTTCGACTCTAATGACCGCGCCAGCTTTTGGCACTGACTATCCACGAAGGGCATGTCAGCTAAACTCCTGTCCATTCTGAAGTCTACCGTGGTTCCCGAAGCCGTGTACGGGTCTGTAGGAAACTTCCCTTCGCTCCTCACGACAAATGTTGTCTGCCAGAGTCGTCCTGTATCTCCTTTCCTCTTTACCTTTGTGATCTAAATGACCATGCATGACTCATCATCATCATCAACAGCAGTACATCAGCCATTTGAACTGATGCTTCGCTGCCATACAACCATGAGGACCTATGAAATAAAGAATAAGAAGAGGGAGAGAAAGGGGACTTACCTGAAAACCTTAATGCCCTAAGCAAACATTCAGGGTCAAGGCGCCTACACCTTGTGTAGACAACATTCCGTCACAAACAGCTGGCTATCGTGCAAAGATAAGGCGGCATCGGCGAGACAGCTTCCTTGCGGCTTTCACTGCCACGCGTCATAATCAGCCATTACCCCGCAGATAACTCAGCACCAAACACACTTTAAACAGACAATCCGATTAGGAGACGGCAGCAGACGCGCCACTGGTGTCGGTTGCGAGCCATGTCCTGTAAAGTCTCAAGCCAAGCACAAGGTGAGTCACGTGGACTCCAGCCTGGAAGGCGAGACGGACCAATGGCACCCAGTTTAGTTGTCAGTGACTTCATTTCCCGCTGCCAAGTCAACTTCTGTCCACCTCGAGCCTTGCGCCATCCTACACCTGGTAGACTGAACAAGGCCCTCCGAGGTAAGCGGTGACCAGGCATGCGTAGCACGTGCCCGAGCCAACGCAA